GGGGACCTCGCTGACCCTGTGTCTGCCTGCAGAGGATGACGGCGGAGGCGCAGCGGCGCGTGGTGCTGGAGTACCTGCGCGCCGTCATGCAGAAGCGCATCTCCTTCCGCAGCGCAGAGGAGCGCAAGGAGGGCGCCGAGAGGATGGTCCGGGAGGCCGCGCAGCTCCGCCACCTGTTCCGGAAGCTGGCCTCCGTGAGTGCCGCCTGGGCCCGGGGGCTTGGCTCATTGTCCTCCCTTCCCCCAGTACCATCCCCCCATCCCCCTGGGCTGTTTAGGCCAGCTGATCAGGGACCAAGCAGCCAGTCAGTCCTTCTTGTGTGAACGGGAAGGTCTGTTGGACCCTGTGGCTGGGGCTTCGCATGCTGGGCCGTGGCTTCTAGACCCTTGTTAGGGGGCAGCGCTCGCCAGACACTGGCCTGACCCTCACGGGCAGTCCTGGGCTCACTCCCGGTCGTCCATCCCCTGCCTCCTGCTGGCAGCATCCCACTGAGGCTTAGTGAGGGCTCCGCTGCGGATCCTGAGCCAGATCCTGAGCCAACCGCGTGGGAGGTGGGGAGCCAGCTGGGCAGCCTCCGCCAAAGAGAGGGCTTGACAGAGACTCGTCAGGTGTCCCCTCCCAGTACTCAGCAGCTGCTGGCGCTCTGTCTTCCAGGGGTTTGGTGAGGATGCAGATGGGTACTGTGACACCATTGTCGCCATTGCAGAAGTTATTAAGCTGACAGACCCATCTCTTCTCTACCTGGAGGTTTCCACTCTGGTCAGCAAATACCCAGACATCAGGTAAGGGCCCATGTGCCTTCCTGTTTCAGCCAGAATTCATGGGAGCAGGCACCAAGCTCACTCCTCGGGTCACTGGGAAGATGGAAGGGCCTGGCTGTCAGGTGTGAGTGCCACTTGGGGGGGGTTCTAGGCTCCTGTAGGGACAGGCCGTGGGGGTGACTGCCAGGAGTAGGGTGGACCTCAGAGAACAGTAATGTCTCTGTGTCTCTCTGTGTCTGTGCCTCCCCTGGCCCTGACGCCCATGGGTCCTCAACAGATTGACGCGTCCCCCAAGGGTCAGCACAGGTGGGACCCCTCTGGGCGGGGCGTCAGTCACGCTCTGTTCGCTGGGGAAGGTGGCACAAGTGAGGTGGCTTCAGGAAACTCGTCTTGTGCTCCTGGGTTCAGAGAGGAGAGGACACGTGCCACACTCGACCAGGGCACTCAGCCAGCATCTCCCCCTCCTGCTAGTGCTCTGGGCCTGCCTCCAGCAGGGGGGACTGGCGGTCCTGTCCTCCCCAGGGTCCCCCTGCCCTAGGCAGGCAGTCTGTTAAAGATTTAGGAGAACAGAGTCTAAAAAGCTGTGTGTTTGTAGCTTGAACAAAAGGCCACAGTAAGAGGAGAACTCTCAGTTTCTCTGTTGCTGTGATGAGGGGCTCACACCTCTTGTCTGCAGCCGTCGAGCCGCCTCTGGGGCCTTGGTGTTGGCCGAGCCAGGCCGGGGGAGCACTGGGGAGTTTGAGTCGGGCCTGGGGGGTGAGCGCACCCCGACGCAGCCCTGGCGTTCCCCGCGTCCCCAGGGATGACCACATCGGTGCGCTGCTGGCCATGCGGGGGGACACCAGCCGGGACATGAAGCAGACCATCATCGAGACGCTGGAGCAGGGCCCGACCCAGGCAAACCCAAACTACGTGCCCATCTTCAAGGAGATCACGGTTCCCAGTCTGAACGTGGCCAAGCTCCTCAAGTAGCTTGTTGGGCCCCAGCCTTGTTGTGATGCAGTGCCCATCCCCCACCCTTGGAAATGCGTGGCAGCCAGAGTGACGTAAGACGCCCAGGTCCCGCACACCTGCCTCTTGTGGGGCTGCGCTCATGGCTTCTTGAAGAGCAAGCACTCTGAAGGCCGTGGCTCTTCTGGCTTTCTCCTCTCTTGTAACATCCTTTGTGAGGGGGCTCTGGTGTGAGTGGCCTCATGATGCCTGTTCCCCTTAACCCTTGGGTCTCCCCTCATTTCTGCATGGTGTAAACACCTCCGAAGCTCTGCTGCTCAATAAAAAAGTCTAAACTCATACAGAAAAAGGAAGACTTCCCAGTTGTGAAGGGTTTCTTACTCAGGATGACCTAGTAAGGTTCCAGAGACCGAAGCCAGTTTCCGGTTGGCAGGTGTGCAGCCCAGAGAGGCGCCTCAGCCTGGACCAGGGGCCTGTGTCCTGCAGCTCTGTGTGGCGCCCCCTCGTGCTGAGAGCCCTGCGCCCCCCGCCCCCCCCCCCCCGGCCGTGTGAGATGGGACAGGTGTCCCTCTGGCACGCACCATTGCGTGCGTCCGGGCAAGTCCTCACTGGAGACGTCGTGAGCATCAGGTCTGGCGGATCCGAAGTGAATGTGAACATTTATCTGGTGGTGCGGGATCCCGTAGGCCCATGTGGTGGGACCATCCCCACGGCAGCTGCTTCAGCAGTGGCCTTGTTGGCACTTTTAGTCTCTAATCTCACACCACATTAGCAGAGAAGCCACACCAGAGTGAATGGCGGGGCCTTGCATGTGGGGTGTGAGGGGTCCTGACCCTTCCCCACGCTGCTGTCAGCAAATGGGGTTCCTCAGATGCACCGTGCAGTGCCGGCCAAGATGAGGGGGGAAGGGAGGGTTGCCCTGTTCCCCCACCCTCGCTTCAGGGACCCCAAGGACTTCTGGGACAGCAGGGACAGCCCTTGCTCACTGTGCCTCCAGCCTCTCTGGTGGGCATGCTGTGCGCCCCTTCCCTGCAGACTTCTTGTGAGTGCGGGGTGGGGGGGCCGCTCTGAGCATCTGAGTTCAGTCTTTGGGACGTAGGTTTCCTTTCCTCTCCAGGCATGTTCAAGGTGCGGAGCTGATAATTACACTTTTATCTCCTCTGCACAAGATAAGAAAATTCACGTGTAGGACTTTTTCCTGAAGGAATCCAGACCTAAAGGGAATGAAGTAACTGACAACTGGCTGCAGCTCAGGCACGTTACTGGTTCAGGAGAGGCCTCACTTTTCGACAAACACGTAGTAATGTCCTGTCTCTGAGTACCTATTAACTATGATATGTCCTACTGCCTGGCATGGAGTAAGTGCCTAATGCTTTTTGAACTAATACAAGTAAGAGTTAACAATCATTAGTTATTGTCCCTTATAATAATAAAAATACATTGCTTTTTCCACCAGCTGAGAAAATTTTCACTCCATGTTACTTCGGGAGCAAATATGCAGGGAGAATCTTCAAATAATGACAGTAGACCCTAGCGATGCATGTGGTGCTTGCTGGTGCTCTTGCTCTGAGCATGTGACGGTCACTCCAGTGCCCACAGTCACTGCTCACACCTGCTTCAGGGATGCCTGCTGTGATGCTGGGCAGAGCACTGGCTGCCTGAAGTGAAGGGCAGATGTCGGCACATCCCAGACCCTGGGGACACGTGATTTTGAAGGGAGCACGCTGGCCAGGATGTGGTGGGAGTGGGCGGGACGGCAGAGGCCACGTCCCGGTGGTTGGTGACACCTGGGGGAGGGTCACCTCCAGGCCAGTTGGTGCCAAGTGCCCATCGGGGAAATGGGTTTAACAAGACAGGCAGCACACGGCCAGTACCAGGAACACTGCAGATGCAGAGTCTCGGGGTCGTTGGAAAAATGTATGTCAAAGGAGGAAATCTCCTGGACTCTCAAGTTTCATTCATAGGGCTTCCAGAGCGTGCGGTGAAGGGGCTCCTGACCACGTTTGTCTAACTAGTGTGAGCTTGTGAGCTGACGCCTGCCTGGGGTCCTGTCCCTCTCAAGTCTGCCAGAGTACAGTCCAAACAGCCATGACCCCAAAACATGGAGCCTGGAAGCATGCACACTTCTTTTTGTCCAGAGGAACTCTTCCAGGGAAGGCGGGCCACATGGGGGCTTCCCACCGCCCCGCCCTCCCTCCTGCATGGGGCACCCGTCATACAGGCATGCCCCGGGGACACCAGTGCCGCCTGGGATGAGACTCGGGACACAGCGAGGAGAAGCCCGGAGATGGGCTCCCTGGGCAGCTGGCCCGGGAGAGTGCGGGTGGGGCCCTGACACACATTGGTGGGCTCGGGTGGTGTTCCCCCAAGCCCCGGAGCAGCAGACACTGCCGCAGCCAGAGGGTTCCCCGTGGCACTGGATGAGAGAGGCCTTGCCCACACCTGACTTTCTTCGTTTGAAGCCAACAAGTCTGTAGTCCTTACGGTGGTCCTAGAACCCACACTCCTCGAGACTCCTTTCTATGGACTTTGAAATGGCTGCAAATTTACAATAAGAGGCTAGATTTTTCTTACAAAAAGTATCTATGGACTCAGCTTTGATGTGCCATTTTGTTTTTATAATAAACATCTAAAATTTTAACTATTAAAAGGTGTGTCTGTGACACAAGACTTCAGGGATGATCTGAGGGGCAGGATCCACCCAGGAGGGGCTCCACCTGGTAGAGGGAGGCAGGAGCCACCTTGGGTGGGGGGTGAATCCACCTAGGGGGTCGGGAGCAGGATTCCCCAGGACATGGAGGGGCAGGTGCACAGCTCCATCTCGGGTCTACCCACACTTCTGCCTCCCCCATCAGCCTCACCTTGACCTCAGAGATGCTCCTTGCCTGTCCATGCTCTGGACCCTGGTGTCCCTGCTCAGCTCTGTTCAGCTCTGCCCTCCTCCCTTTAATGTCTCAGGTGCTTCCTTCCCCAGTGTGGCTGGGTGGCTACTGTTCTACCCTTTGGGGGCCTGTCCCATGTGCAGTGATGAGTTTGAGTAAGCAAGTGAGTGGCCGTGTCCATTTGTCTCTGGGAAGAATCAGTTCTCAGGGGCCTGGTGTGCCAGAATTTGTGTGTCCAACAACCTCCTTGCACCAGCCAGAGGGGCTGCCTCTGACACATGAGCATGCACACAAACATATGTGTCGACATTAATTTTAGTGCCAGAGCAGTGTTTACCCGCAGAAATTGCTCCTTAAATTCTCCTTGATATGATTCCTCATTTATAAACAAAGTTTGCACCCAACATGCCTTGAAACATTTTTAATAGACTTGATCATGCAGGCTTGACAGGGTCTGTGATGGGGCCCCTGCCCAACAGGTCCGGGACAGCACTCACTGTAAGGCACATCGTTCTGTGATCAGGGTTACACAAAATTGGACTGAGTTTACATTCACAAAATTAACATACACAATTTTCACCACTCCTAATTAACATACATTTCCAGCTTCAACGAGATTCTTTATATCTCCTTTCACTATTGAAGACCACTACTACACAGTATAGAAGCACTGTAACCAAATTATTTTCAAGAAAATACAGAAGGGAGAAATAGTGACTCCTACAGTTGTGTTCCTTATAGTCTACCATAAAGTAGGCCAAAGTTTAGTATTAAATAAATAGGAATTCTTTTCTAATAAAAAATTTTACAACAGTTTTCCTAAGGAAATACACTCATAAGACTTTGTTTACATTCTGTTTTACAATGACAACAGCTAGGATTCTCATTTATGAAATGTATCCACAGCACAAGGGTGCATTACACCGTGTCCTCAGAGGAGACGCCGGACCTTCCTCTCGAGCACTGCAGTGTGAGAGTCTGCCGACCTGGAACTTTGGTTCCCTTGTGGCTGTGTCTGGCCCTGTGCAGTCTGACAAACTGCCCACCAATCACAGAGAACACCAGCCAAGAGCCGAGCCATGAGACATTTGTCCAATAGATGCATCAACAAGTGGTTCAATTACTGTCTCTGGTGTTGAGTGGGGTGCCTCTGAGCTGCTTCCCCTGACTCAGCCTCTGGCTACACAGCTGGGAATTGGATCCGGGTCCAGCGGTCCAGGTGAGTTGTTAAGGCAGCTAGAGATGCCGGACCCGCTGGGCTGTGGACCCCGGGGCACCAGTGCGGCAGGACCCACCCTGCTCCAGATGAACACTCTGCAGGGAGTGGACAGAGCGTGTGCCTTCCCGGGGATGCGATCGGTGGCTGCAGCTGCCGGCCTGGGAGCCGTCCGTCGGGCTCACTGACGGGCAGGTTTTGTTGTGCAGATCATGGTTGGATTTCGTGCTCACGAAGTTGGTCAAATGTTCACACGCGTAGGGAGTAACTCCGGAAAGCCCGGCGCCGCCCCTGGGTGTGTGATTTAGGGAATGCAGGTCTCGGTGGGCTCCACAAATGAGGCCACAGTGGCTTTTCCTGGTTTTCCTCCGCAGCAAAGCTCTGAACAGCAGACTGTACACAGACTTTTCCACCAGGGACTCCATGTGCACTGTTACGACACCACAAACCGCCAGCAGACCTGGCCCGTGGTGGCTGTGAGAACTACCCCATGAGGACTTGGTCCTGGCACAGCAGTTTCCTTTCCTGAACGGAGGTGGGCCTGGCCTCTTTAGAAAACCTTCTAGAAGAGTCCTGAGGCCCCTTAACCCTTTATCACCTCTTTCTCATACAAAAGCCTGTCTGAGGAACAGGCAAGGGCATGGGAGGGCCCCTCCCCTGGCTCACTGAGGCAGACTCCTCACCCCACCCTCTCTCCACGCCCCCCAGGAACGGCCAGTGGTGTCCCTCCAGAGGACTGGACTGCGGTGGGGGCCAGGGGAGGAGGGACTCTGGGGTGGAGGGGGTCTGTGCTACAACACCCTCAGGGCAGGCCCAGGGGTCCCATTAAGCTGCTGTGAAGGCCCCATGCCCACGAGGCCACTGCAACCTCTAAGCCAGCGAGGGCGTCCCCAGGGTCAGGTGGGACAGCTCCGGCCAGAGCCCACACGTGTCTGGGGGTGGGGCCACACATGGAGCCCAGAGGCCGCCACCCCGACAACTGGGCCGGGCCCAGACCAGTCACAACACAGAAAGGGTATTTCTGCAATTGTACCTACAGTCCCAAGGTGACAGGTAGTTCAAAGATCTGGTAAGTGGACGTGAAGACATCACACGGCGCCCAGGCTGCCCACACCCCAACCCCTCATCCTGCAAACTGCTCCTGGCACCAGGGCTCCTGGCCTCCCCGGGGGTGGCAGCCCTGCCTCGGCCCAGATCGTGGGCTGGCATCAGGATGGGCAAATCTCACTGTGCCTGGGCGTGTTGCCCTGGCAGTGCTGATGAGCGAATGGACACAACGTGGCAAGAACTCGAACACAGAGCCAGGCTTCTGGGGCCCGCGGCCCTTCCTGACCCTCGGCCAGGGGCGGCGGTGGGAAGAGGCACACACAGCGCCGGTTCGGCTCGCCATCCGGGAGGGTGGTCACAAGAGTCCCCACAACGGCCTCCTGGAAGGGCGCCAGCCCGCACCGCCAGCAGCCGGCGGGGCCCCCGGGGCCAGGCCCCCTTCCCGGCCCGCCCGGGCCTCTGCGCGTGGCTCCCGAGAATTCCCAGGTTCGCGCCCCCTCGCACACCTGGTCCCCTGGGCCGACTCTAGACCGAAGAACCCGGCTCCGGACGCGGGCACCTCGCGGCCAGCCGGTCACAGCGGCGTCTCCTCCTGCTCCAGCGCGTGCGGCGGCGCGTGGCACGAGGGCGGCAGGGACGCCAGCTTCAGCAGCGCGGGGCGGCGGCGCGCGCGGGGCCGCTGGAACGAGCGCCGGCTGTGCACGCGGCGCGCCGCCGCCGACCGCGCGTGCGCGCCGGGCAGCCCGCGGCGCTCTGGCCCCGCCCCCGGCTCGCGGTCGGGCGGGGCGATGGGCGGGGCCTCGGCGGGCGCGGCCTCGGCGGGCGTGGCCTCGGCGGGCGGGGCGGGGCTCAGGGCGCGCTGCCGGGGGGGTCGCGCAGGGAGCGGGGGCTTCTCGGCGGCTGGAGGGGAGGAGCGTCCGGTCAGCGGCACGTCGGAACCCGTGTCACCTGCGGGGGGAGCCGGCGTGAGCGCCGAGGGCACCTGGCGGGGGCCCTGGGCGGGGGGGGGGGGGGGGGGAACGGATGGGAAGGGGAGACCTGGGAGGCGATGCTGGTCGGGTTCCCACCCCGTCCCAGACCGCCTGGCCTTGAGCACAAACTGCAGGTGGGGGGCCATCGCCAACCCTCCAAGTTGACTGCTGCCCCCACCCCCCGAGGTTCCCACGTCCGCTCAACGGGCACGCGAATCACCGGGACTCTCCGGCCCACGCCGTGGAACCTTCCTCCTAACCTTCCAGGATGTCTGTGGAGCCGGGACGGTCCCCAACACACCCAGCCTGAGCCCCACCCCCACTACCTGAAAGGTTCTGGGGCGCTTTCAGGCCACACCCTGGCTGTGTGGCCAACGGGGGCCACAGTGACATGGTCAGCTGGGCCCTGACCTCACAGCCCCTCGCAGGTGCCTCTGCTGTGGGAAGGGGCTCGGTGTCAAGCCCACCCCAGACACGGCCACCCTGCCCAGGAGATGGTCCTGGCCGTATGGCCTCTCCGCACACCAGTGTCCTGCTCTAGGGATAAGCGGGGTTCATGGAAGAGAGAAGGGAAGGTTATGAGGTTCAGAGGCAGAAGCCAGGAAAAGGCACAGGAAAAGGCTAGCAGAAGCAGCCGGGCAGAGGCCCTGCCCACGTGGCGTCTCCCACAAGCACACTGCTAGTCCCCAGTAGTGTACGTCCAGGAGGAAATCTCAGCTTCTGCATAAAGGAAATACTGCCCCCGGCAGCGCCACCTGGATTTGCTAGAACACCCTAAGTGAAGGGACGGACCGCCGCTCCCCAGCTGGACTGGTAGACGCTACTCTCCAAGTGTCCTACCCTCCTGAGAGAGAGCCCCTCATGTACTGGCTCCCAAGTGCCCACCAAACACCCCAAGGAAATGTGGAATGAACGCCAAACCCTGCACAAAGGGGCTGATCTGCTTCCCTGTGGATGGTAAAGTGAGGACAGCACCTTCCAGGTGCCCAGCAAGGAAGCCCTAAGCACCTGCAGCATAGGGGCACCTGCCTCCTACCCTTGCCTTGCCCCGTCACGCCCCATCTTCACCCCCACCCGCACCTCTCTCCCCTCCTCTCCCGAGAGAGGCGCTGGCCTGGTCAGCTGGCTGGTGGGCTCACCGGCCGTGTGGCGGCCCCCTGCCTCCCTGAACCCTCTCCCTGAGCCCTTCTCTATGCGGAAGGGACCTGTTGCTCTTCTCCTGGACTCACTTCTGTCACGTGGGCTTCAAGCAAAGCCCTGGGGCCTTTAGGGACAAAAACACGTTCCCCTTCTCAAGCAGCCCCCGCCCAGCCCTGTGCTCAGACCCCTCTGATCATGACTAAGATTCGTGGGCTGAGCACATGGGTTAAAGAGATCTTCAGGCAGCTCTGGGTCCTGGCATCTCAGCTGGAGAAGCTGACACTCAGACGATCTCCTAAGAAATATGCGGCTGGAAAAGAGGCTGAGAAGGAGGAAGAGCAGCGGCTGGAGAGTCTGCAGACGTTCAGGTTCAGAGCAAGAGAGACAGCTGGCTATGGGGAAAGGAGCTGAGGAGAGAGCAGGCGTCAGGGGGGCGGGTGAGGCCAGGAGTTACATGTGCGTGGATTCAGGGAGGGTCGCGTGGGGCTGCTCCTCGGGGCCATCGGCCTGCAGAAAGGAGTCCACGGACTTGCTGCTGAGGCGGAAGGGTGCCAGGCGGTGGAAGTTGCCCGGAGAGCAGGGGATCTGCACACGGGCCCTCTGGGAGGGCACCACAGTCTCCCCCGGGGACAGCCAGGGAGGCACCCTGGAGAGGATGCTCAGGTCCTCATCCGGGGAGAACACGGGGTTGTCAATCCCTAGGAGAAAGGGCAGCAGTTGGTCAGCTTCCCAGGTGAACCCAGGACGGCCGGGAGAGAGAGTGCCGCCCTGGAGGCGGCTCGTCCCGTGGCCATCACCTGGGAGGTCACCTGGGAGGTCTCTGGAGTTCTGTGCCCTGCACACGTGGCAGGCGGGGCACATGCCAGCTCCCTTCCCTGGAGCAGAGAACCCCGCCTGCCACTCCCACCCCACGTGGACCCAGCACTAGGCTCCCCTGGGGCTGCCCCATCCAATGACCAGTGACCGTGCTCGGTTCTGGGGCCCGAGGGGGGCCATCCCGCCCCTCACCTGAGGGGGAGTCTGTTGCCATGGTGTCCTGTGTTACGTTTGCCAGGAACTCGATCCCACCACCCATCTCAGCACCACAGTCCGGGGCCTCCTCTGGGTCTGATAGTTCCACATCTGGTGGCAGGGAAGGCACCATGAGGGAAGTGGGCTGGGTGCACAGACACCCCCATTTAGTGCCCTTGAGTGGCACCCTTGACCAGCTTGCAGAGTGCCCCGAGGGTGGTCATTAGCTGCTCCCTCTGGGTAGCTTGCTGGGTGGCAGTGCCCAGGTGCCCAGCACAGGCCTGTTCAAAACAAAACCACACCAGGAGGTTTTCGCTCCTACACAGGGGCCACGCTGAGCGCCACCCCCCTCCCCTCCTCCCCAGGGTGCCTGGCCTTTGGGAGGACGGAGCACCCCGGAGCAGAGGCCTGCTCAGGGGGCGCTCTTCCCAGCAGAGCGGCTGGGGCCCTGACCGCAGCCCCTTGCCCAAGGCAGGACAGGCAGGACGCGGTGGAGGGAGCTGGCTGCCAATGGGAAGGTCCCGCTGGCGGGACAGCGCTCTGCCCCCTCCCGCCCCATCTCATGCTCGCCGTGTCCCTGTTGGTGCGCGCTCTGCTATGGCCCCAGCCGGTACCTTTCTCCTTAATGGTGAGATTGTGCATGGGGCTCTCCATGGGCAGTTTCCCGTTGGGGATGCTGCTGTTTCTCTGAGAAACAAAAGGAAAACTGTTAGCGGGTGTGGGCACAGCTACAGCAGGCCCCTGACTGCCCCAGCCGGAGCCCTCCAGGGCCCCTTCCGCTGTGTGTGGGGGAGGGGTTACAGGTGCCAAGTCCCTGGTCCCTGCCCAGGCCTGTCTCTGGGGGGGCCCTGGTGTGACCCCACGGTCCCCCTGCCAACAGCCCCGCGCCCGCCACCCTCACCCGCTTCTGGGCACGTTCCCTCTTGTACAGCTTCGCTGCCTTCTTGTTCTGATTGATCCCAAGCTTGGCAGACTTGAAGGATTCCAGGCGCTTCCGCATGGTCCTGTGGAAGATCTCCTTGTCCTGCTTCTCGTCTTCGTTCGGAGTTAGCTCGTGCCGACTGTAGAGATGCTTGTACTGGGGGAGGAGCGGCCGGCACGGTCACAGTGGGGACACCTTGTGTGGCTGGGCCCCCCAGCAAAGCCAGACACACAGAACTGGGGATGTGAGGGCCCAGGGACCGGGCTGGGCGGCTGAGACCCCTCCACCTCCTGCCAGCCCTTTGTGCTCCATGCGAGGACCCCTGTGCCAGGGTAAGGGCCCCACCCAGGCTCCCCACACCCACCTCCTGCCGGGGCTTGTACAGGTACTGCTGCAGCGTGTGGTGAGTGACCATGTCCTCTGTGTCGCGGATGCTTCTCCTCCTCTGCTCCAGGGACTGCATGTCCAGGCACACGGCACTGACGTTCTCCCTCCTACGCGGGGGCCATGGTGATCGCCCGCGCCTCCTGCCCCTCCCCCTGTGAGCCCGGGCACCTCCGGCCTCCTGGGAGGCTGGTCCTGGAGTCTCCTCCCTCAGGGTCTCAGCCAGACCCCGTGAGGCCTTCCCGCCCTCCCCCAGGCCTCGCCGGCCCCCAGCTCATCCCAGCGCAGCACAGGCAGGAGGGCCTAAGTCCAGGCCCGGTGTGGGGACGACCGGGGGCCGGGCCTCAGCCCCAAGCCCCCGCCTGGCCCTGCCAGCGCCTCTTCTCTCAGCCGCACGTCAGGGCAGACACTAACCTGTCCTGCAAGCGTGTTCGTCCACGCAGGGGAAGCAGCCGGCACGTGTCCACACCCTGCCCGCCACCCCCGCGCCCTCCCTGGGGTCCAGGCCAGGGGTCCCCACACGTCCCATTTACGCTCGCAGTTGCCTCAAGACACCCACTGGCCATTGTCCGTCCAGAGGGGCCCTGCGGCCGGTGACTAGAGCCTGGGCAGTGCCGGCCAGGGAGACCCCACCCACAGCAGCCTCTGGGGGCTTGGGGTGCCCCGGCCAGGGGCAGGAGCCCGTGTGACGTGGGCACGTACAGAAGATAGGAGACGGAGGCCTCCACGGTTGAGGGCCGCGGTGTGCTGAAGTCCACGTTGACCATGTTGTCAGTGCTGGGGGAGCGGATGAAGGCCAGGGACCCGCGGCGTTCTCCCTGTGGGGAGGGGACAGACTGCAGCAGCCCACGCCCCGGAGGGCCAGGCAACCACCAGCCCCTGGAGAGCTCAGGCCGCAGCTAAGGCCTTGCTTGAGCCGAGTGGTTGGTGGCTGCTGGGTCGAAGAACAAAAGTAAAGGCAGAAGCAAGCCTGAAGCACCGCATCCCCCCGCGGGCCCGGCGCACCAGGAAACACAGCGGCTCCCACAGGACTGGGGAGGCGCCCCTCGTCCCCACTGGGGGTCCCAACCAGCTGCCCTCAGTTCCCCCAAGAAGGGAACCCCCAGGCCTCTGTCCAGAATTGAATCAGATTAAAACCACGTAGAGCAGAGCCCTACAAGAATGAAAGTCAAAAACAGCCGCTCTCCTGGGGTGGGAGTGCGGGGCCACGTGCCAGGGGGCCACAGAGAGAAAGCAGGGACCCCTGAGGGGAGGACATGGGGCTGTGAGGGCGCCGGAGTCAGGGTCCGACGTGTCTGGCAGAGCCAGGCCTGGCCGGGGAGGACCCCACGTCACAGGCCAGGGGCACTCAGCGTGCCGGGCAGCAGGGGCCCTGCCCGCAGGCTGCACATCTCACGTGGGCACTGGGGGCCTTGGAGTGTCCAAGGGACACAGGACATGGCTGGCAGAGGGGGGCAGCACTGTACACACTGTCAGGACAGCCCCCTCCAGCCAATCCACCCAGACTCTAAGGCCACGAAGGCCTCTGCGGTCCCACCAGGCAGAGACCCGTGCTCTCGACTTCCCCAGCCCGGGGCCAGAGGTGCAGAGGTGGCCCTGTGCCGCAGGTGCCTGGCTTCCGCCTGGGGGCTCGGGGGGACCAGGGTCGGCATGGCTCTAGCCCGGTAGACGGCGAGAGGCCCTTCTCTCTCCTCACCTCCCTGCGGCCCCTGCCCCTCTGCCTTGTAGTGTCCCCGGGCTGTGTCGGGGTGTCAGGTGGACAAGCCCACTGGAGACAGGACTCCCTTTCCCCTCTGAAGGAGCAGATGTTTCCGGGGCTCTGGCTGCACCCTCCCTGTGAGGTCCATGGGTTTGCCAAGGTGGCCCCACCCCTCCCGGTGGAAGTGCAGACCCCTAGCTTACCAGGCTCTGCAGAGGCCTGAGCTGGTGAGGTGCCAGGTGACCTCAGGGCCCAGGGGCCATGTGTGGGGACACATGGGGCAGAGGCAGCTGGGTAATCAGTGTAGTGGCCAAGAGATGGTCACACGTGTGCACTGAGGAGCCAGAAGCACTGCTTGGAGGCATGTGGCCACGGGGAGGGGTGGGGGGGCAGCCAGACCGTATGTCCCAGGAGGAGTGGGATTTGACCTGAGACCTGCCATGGCTGTCACTGACACATCCTGAGTACTGACTGAGTGGCTGTGGGTTGGCACGGGGCACGCAGCCTCAGAAACAGCAAGATCCAGAGAGTCATCGCGCCACCTGTGCGGCGGGGCTAGTCCCTCAACCCTGCACACGCTCCCTGAGCCCGCTCGTTTCCCCCCCCCCTGGGTGCACCCACCAGCCCCTAGTCCGGCCCATCAGCCGCCAGAACACGGGACTGGACTCATCTGCCCACAGAAGGCAAGGGTTCTGTGGATGCAGGGACCAGGAGATGTGGAGGCCGCCTCAGAACCACAGCCTGCGACCAGGTACATCTCATGTTTACCCCACAGGACTCAAGAGCTCCCTGCCATGTTCCCCTCTGTATGCATACGCGCACGTGCAGGAACACGTGCCGGCTGCATGTGCACGTCTGTGTGCGCTACGTTGACTCCAAATGCCCTACCTGGCCTTAGACCTCAGACCCACCAGGCATACTGCAGGGAGCCGTCGGGGAGGGCTCAGTGCCTCAGCTCCTACAGCCGTTCTCAGGGCTTCATGTCATGAACGTGTCATCAACCCCAGCACGGTGCTGCCTTGGGCCTCAGGGTGCAGACAGACGTGTATGTGGGTGCAGGCCCACCGCCCCAGACCCCAGTGGCTGTCCACATCCCATGTCTGCATGTTGCTTCAGCCTCCAACTCCAACAAAGACAACAGACAGAATGTTCTGGTACCTCGGCCACATAGCTAATGGCATCTTTCAAGTTGAGCTCGTGGAAAACATTCAGAATCCGATCTCGTGACTTCTGGGCCGACCTTCTCATAAGGATTTTGCTGAGGAATTTCCTATCAAAATTGGACCACCTGGAGGGTCAAATCAGCACAGGTGTTAACAGTTGGGTGGACTGTGGGACCGTGGTGGCATGTGGGGGGCAGGGACCAGGGGCTCCCTCTCCCACTCCCCAGGCTTGTAATGGACATGGTCTCCCAGGAGCTGAGACCCAGGAGACGCACGCCCCTCCCCTCCGAAATGCATTTACTGTAACAACCACAAAGGTGACTTCTAAAATAAAAGGAGTAAACCTAAGGGGTGCTATTTCCCACCTGTGCTCTGCCCTTACCTTCCTGTCAGAATGTATGTAACATTCTGAATTCCGTTCTCTCATATGACACAATACTGCAAAGCTTTCCATGTGACTACCTAATCCTCCGGAAAGGGTGGGGCCGGCTGAGGGCAGTGCCCTGGGGCCGGGGCTACAGTGAGGGGGCACATTTTACCTGCAGGGGGACTGGCTAGGGGAGGAGGAACCTTGAGCTCCCACACTTGGAGAGAACCAGGCTGGCCAGAGGAGGCTTTAAATCCAGCCCAATCAGACTATTGGCCAGTGGGGGCGCCTGGGTGGCTCAGTCGGTTAAGCGTCCGACTTCGGTTCAGGTCATGACCTCACAGTTTGTGGGTTTGAGTCCCGTGTCTGTGCTCACAGCTCAGAGCCTGGAGCTGCTTCAGGTTCTGCATCTCCCTCCCTCTCTGCTCCTCCTCCACTCACACTCTGTCTCTCTCTGTCTCTGTCTCTCTCTCTCAAGTAAAAAAACACTAAAAAAAAAAAAAAAGTAAAAAAAGAATACTGGCCAGTGGTCTGGGGCAGAAGAGGGTGTGGCCAGGCCAGAGTTGCAGAAGGACATCTAGCTGAGGCCCAGTGGGCCTTGAGCTAGAGAGTGAGGGGGAGGGGCTGCCTGAGGAGGAGGGGGCTGGGGCTGGGGGGAGTCCCAAGGGGAGGGGGGCTGCAGGAGGAGGGGGTCCTGGAGGAGAGGGACCCTAGAAGGAGAAGGGCTTCCGGGGGAGGAGGAGTCCCAGGGCAGTGGGGGGGTCTCAGACAATTTGGCAAGCATCCTCTGGCCCCTCTGAAGGCCGTGTTCTTCAGTCAGCCAGTGCTTTGTGAGGCTGGGTTATTATGGGGGTGTCATCAGCTCTTTCTGCCCTGTGGGTCCTCCGGTCAAAGGCAGAGGGAGGGAAGCTGACAGTGGAGAGAAATGTGCCTCTAAATTTCCCCAACCAGGGGCACTTACTTATCTCTGAGATAATTGTGTCCAATTTGCCCCGATATATCCTCAATGGCCGAGAGGATGTGGTCGAAAGCCTTTCACAGGAAAGAAAAGTGCGTTGGCATCACTTGGAGGCTACACCTGCCCTGCCTCGCCCCTCCCCCACCCTTCCCCCCACCCCTCTGCCACTCCAGGCCCCTACCCGGCCATGCAGCTTCTCATTGAGTTTGGGCTCTCGGTGCTCGCTCCTTTTCACCTTCAGCCACTGCACCAGGGGCTTGATGGTCAGGCCCTGGAAGACAGGTACTGACCTGGATGGTGGGCAGGCTCCCGCCCGGGGGCCCACTCTGGCCCACTGCACCCCCAGCGTGTGGATCTACACTTTCACCCCCCTCCATAGGCACACAGGGTGAAATGGGCCACCCCTTATCCACAGACCTGACCCGCTCTGAGGGCCCCCCCAGTCGGCTCCTTAGACTTTCCGAAAGCAAGGCGAAGTGGGACACCGTCCTGGGCGTGTCTGGTCAATAAAACCCAAACTGGGGCTTCGTTAACCAGCAGCAGCACAGGAATAACATTTTTAGGCCAAATCGTGCTGCGTCCCCTGTGGGGCCACATGAAAACCTACAAAACGGCTCCTAGTTACTAAAATTGTAAAAACCAATTAGGGCCTGGAGGCTGGGGTGGCGTGGGGAGGTCGGAGAGTGGGCGGCCGCGTGCCCTCCGCCTACCTGGAAGATGACCGTGAAGAAGACCACGATGATGGTGGTGCTGACAAAGAGGTTCCTCTCCTTCACCTTGTTCTCGTCCAGAAGGACAACCAGCGCGAAGGCCACGGCCCCGCGCAGGCCGCCGTAGGACATGACCACCTGGTCTATGATTTCCAGCTGCACCATGCGGTACCGGTTCAGGACCCAGGTCTGCAGGACCACACCTGCGGGCGGGGCCTGCGCTGAGCTCCGTGCCCCTCCCGGGACCCCGGCCGGTGGCAGCCACCGCCCCGGGGCACAACACGTGGGGATTCCCTCCAAGGGCAGTGACGGTGACAGCTTGTGTCCCGAGCAAGGGGACACTCCACCTGGTACCCTACTCTCCCCAAACCCCCACGTCCACGCCAGTGCTCTCTCCTGGCCACGGGTCAAGCCTGCCCCTGGGGACACTCTGTGCACCCCGAGTTCGTGGCTAGAAGCTATTGCCAGCAGCTCTGGAAACTCGCAGATGTCCCTGTGACCCTGGCTGTCACGGCGCGGCCTTGCACTCTGATGCGTCAGCCAGCTCCAGGACCGCCCGGCCTGCTCTGCTCGCGCAGCCGCCCCCTGGAGCCCTCAGGCCCTGGTGAGCTCAGGCAGTGGGGGGGGTGGTCTCACCCCGGAACTGCGCCCCAGGGAGGGGCAACAAGGGCCGGAGCAGGCGCAGGCAGGGGGCGCCTGCCTCACATGAGCCTAAACTGCTCCTCAGTGACTGTATCCACAGTGAGTCGATGGGAGACCAGATGGATTCCTCTAGGTTCTAGAACCTTCCACCCTGACCCCCAGCCATTCTAAGTCCATCTCAAGGTGATGCATTCCTGAGAAAGCCGGAACCTTCACTGAAGATAACTCATGGCCTAACCATGGTGAGGGCCCCCCGTGGCTCCCAGACCTGCTGCTCACTGGGCAAGAGGGCTGCTCACAAGCACCACGTTTATGGCTCCCACGGACTCCCCACAGCCAGGCCCCAGTGTCTGCCCCCACCGCGCCCAGCATCCGTCATTGTCCCCCCACCCTGTCCCCGCCTTCCCCCAGCACCCTCACCAATGGCCCGGTACACGGATATGAACACCAGTGTCAGGAGCACAAAGGCTGTGTTCCACTTCCAGATGCCGGGGTTCACGGCTGAGATGCCCAGGAACATGAAGATGATGGTCTCCGCCCCACTGGCCAGCATCTTCATGGTGTAGCGCACGGTGGTGGCTGACTGCTCCGAGATGTTGGCCTTCACGTACTTCTGGCAGCAGATGCCGCAGAAGGTGATGCTGGGGGTGGCATGGGCGAGCAGTGAGGCTGGGGGCCGAGACTCGGGCCTGTGTCCTGGGCACGCGCCCACCCCATTCGGGGGCTGCTCTAGGACTGAGTGCAAGTCCCGGCTCCCGACACCCTGAGACCTGAACCCTGAGCCACCCAGTGGGCTGCCTCAGCGTCTGTCCTCTGCCTGGCGGTGGCTGGCTCTGGGGGGAAGTGCCAGGGCAGATCTGGGTCACAGGGGTGCCAGCCAGCCTTCCACCCAGAGCATCCGGAAGGGTCTGCGTGTAGGCAGAGCTCTCGGACAATTCTGTGAAAACACCAGCTCCTTATTTAAAACCTGAATAGACCAGATTCTTCACCCCCACAGCGGCTTCTCACCCCTCAGGGGAAGCGGGCCAGGCAGATGGGGGCTGGGAAGAGACCCACAAGGTTGTGCTCCAGGAGGGGAGGGGCCCGTCTCCCCCCACCCCTTCCCCCCTTCCCCCTCCCAGGCACAGCTGCTTGGCTGTGCTGAGGGTGGGCCCTGCCCGAGGCCCGGCTGCTGTGTGGCTCCGGGGCTCTGGGCCATGAGAGCGAGGGGGACTCACGCCAGGATGGCCGACAGCGACAGCATCTCGGAAGTGAGGTAGGACAGGTAGGAGATGACGAAGACGAAGCCAGGCTCGATGATGCGCACGTGCTTGGTGAAGCGGGTCACCAGCGACAGCAGGAAGGCGAAGATGACCCCCACCAGCGTGCCCCCCAGGCTCACCACGAAGAAGGACACTGTGGGGCCGAGGACACTGGCTGAGCCGCCTGAAAGGCCCTTTGTGGTCGGGTGTGGTTGGCCCTGCGTGTGGGCGAGGCTGACCGGCCGTCCTTCCAGACCATTCCTTTCATCGTGGGTTGCCTAGTAACCCCCACGGAGGCGCCACTAACTCAGCAAACAAGAGGCCAATTCTCCCCCTAAGAGGCCATCAGGCTCGTGAGAGCTGGGATATCACAGAGAAAGCCCGAGAAGGGCTTGGGCAGGGTTGTTCCTGGGCCCCGATACGGCCAGGCTGTCATTGTCCCTGCCCAGAGAACCCAGGACACCAGGGCCCGTCCTCCAAGCAGACACACTGGTGGGTCTAACGGGACAGCAGCCCTTGGCCCCCCAGAGTGGCCAGGACCCAGCAAAACTGTGTTCATAAAACTCACTGGGGACAGGAGGGATGGCCACCGAGAGTTTTCCTACTAGGACGTGAGTCCCAAGGGCAGGCCTGGTGCCAAAGGCTGGAGGTGGTCCACATGCTGGAGAGGAGACATGGCCCCCACACTCCCTGGGTGCGCGGGCCCGCCAGCCACACACCTATGCCTTTCACGCAATCCACGCCAGTCACCTTGTCACCACCCAGCGTCACAAAAGATTCGAACACGTTGTAGAGGACCTGGGGGGACAGAGAGGCAAGCATGACATAGGGTCGGCCCTCGGGCAGCGCTCACTTTATCTTGGGCCTCAGGCCTTAGACTTGGTCTGGATCAAGCAGACCATGACAGCCACCTGTTTCAGAAAGAAAAAAAAATCACTGGAGGAAATCATCATGGAGCAGTAATGGTAAATAAGATGAAGGCCAAAGACAAGCCAGTAGGTGGGATATGAGAGGCAGAAGAACATTCTAGAAGGAACTAGAACCTTCAGGAGGAGCAAACTTGGTCCTTTCCTACTCTCAGCAAAGCAGGGGTGACCAAAATTTAACCCACTACATTTAATTCTGTTTCATTTTCCAAGGCGAAGCTAGAGTTTCCATTTTAGTGACTTTGCTGTTGCGCTGACTCCTGATTGCAGGATCACACCCCTTGGTGTCTTTGCATGTTGACATTTAGACCTCATTCTAAGAAGTTTGAGAGGGAAAGATCAGGGACGGCATGCATGCCACAGGTGTGGAGGCTGTGCTGTGTGTTCTGGGCCGAGCCCTCCACACCCAGGGGCCAAGAGGCTGCCAAGGGCAGGACGCAGGTGGCTGGGGAAGCTGCTGGTCGCTGGGCCCCGAGCCTGTGCTGTCCAGGTCTGCTCAAGGGGACAGAGGACCCCGAAAGGCGGGCTGTGAGCTGTTGCTACAGCGGGAGGCACACAGCGGGCTTGATGACGCTCCAGTGGTGGGCAGAGCGTGGGCACGCAGCCACGAAGAGTGCTGGGGGCTGGACCACAGCTCGGCTGTCTCCATGGAAACGCCGGTGGGAGGGAGACAGAGGGTCACACCAACGTAGGCAGGGAACTCCATGGCTCAGGCTTAAGTTCGAGCTTCTCCAGAGAAACGAAGCCACAGCACAGAGCAGGCCAGCCTCGAAGGGGCTGTTTGTTACATTTCTGATTAAGTTTGAAATTAATCCTCAGATTCCCCCGAGAACAACTTATCTGCTACACAAGAAATCTGGTGCAGCACAAGCTTGGGTTTGTCACTCTCCTGAGCCCTGAAGAAACACGAGGAGGGAGAATTTCTTAGAGAGGCCACATGTATTTTAGGGCCAAGAGAGACCTTCATGTCCGGCTGTGTCTGCACAGCCCCTGGGGAGAGGAGACAGCCTGGGGGTGGGCCAGACCCTCCGGCCCAGAGCGGGTGCTCAGAGACACAGCACCGGGGTGACCTGCGCGGGAAGGCGCCCTGCGTGCCTCCGCGGCACCTGTAACTCACTTGCACAGACGTAGTGGCCCAGCTTCAGGCTGGGTTTTGAAAACTCCCCGCCGGCCACTGTGTGCTGAGACAGTGTTCCCACAGCTCACGAACCCTCTGTTCACTGCTGTGGCCTCCCTCCAGCCCTGCCCTCCCCGGGGCCCAGCCGAGCTCCCTGCTCCACCCCCTCCTGGAGACAAAGCCGCGTCACGGGCACACCATCAGCGTTCGCTCTGCTTCCCTCCTTAGTTCTGGTGAGGTCTCGCTGCTGGTCTCTTTAGTGGCTCTCTGACGGAAGTCAGGGGCGGGTGGTACCGACTCTGGACCCAGTTAGAGGTGTGGGGTCGACAGGGAGACGGTCACCGAGGTGGTGGGAGACCAGACCAAGAACTGATTGAAGAGGCAGTCATTTGGAGTTAGGAGGAAGCGAGCGAGGGGACACCATGCGATGCGGCTGGCGCGGGGAAGCCTCCCGCAGAGTGGGGGGCGGAGGGCACAGGGAGAGCACCCCACCCCACATCCGGGCTTCTCGAGGCCCTCCTCAAGGCTGCTTTCTCCGCCAACGGCACCGAGGCCCTGGGGCCGCCCAGCGGCGCTGTTTCTCCCTCCCAGTGGCTCTGAGGTGCTCTGTGGCAAGTCCCAGGGCCCGCCCGGCACCCGCTCACCACAGTGACAGCGTCGTTCAGCAGCGACTCCCCGAAGACGATGATGAACAGGACCTCGTTGACGTGCACCTCCTCGAACACAGCCAGGACGGCCACTGGGTCCACAGCAGCAATCAGGCTGCCGAACAGGAGGAAATCCAGCAGCCCGATTTTCAGGTCTCCTGCGGGACAGGCGGGCCGTCAAGCAGAGCCCTCGGGGCCCCGGTGCGGCGAGGACCTCCAGCCAGGCACGCTGGCTCTCCGGGGCCTTCCGGGGGCTTCCTCAGGCTGCTGTCCTGCTGACTGCTGGGTTGGAAGCCCCTCCCACGGGGACGCTGACTCTCTGAGGCCTTGGGCTGGCTGGTTGCGGGACCCTGGGCCAGAACTGCCTGCCTCCCTCCCGGGGGCTCCCACAGCCTTCCGGAAAGGCTGGTCTCACTCTCACTGGGGACTGATTGCCGCTGGTTCTTCGCTTCATCTGCCCCGGGGCCTGGTTATTCCCTCCTGGCCAGCCCACTGGGAGGCTGCTGCCAGCAGAGGAAGGGCCCGGGGTGCTGGGCCACGCACAGCACGGGATCAGACCCCCGCTTGGGCGGCCTGCTGTCCTGGGCTAGGGGTGACCGGAGATGCAGAAGGTGTACATGCAGGGAAGGTGGTCAGGGGCTTGACGGGCATGGGGGAGAGGCCTCCCTGGGAAGCGATGTCTCAGCCCAGAGGAGAGCCGCCAGGACACAGCCAGACGGAAGTGATGGTAGGGGGGAGGGGAGAGACAGGCCTCACAGGGTCCGAGGGGCCACAACTGGCCTGAGGAACTCTGATAGGAGGGGCCGCCAGGGAGGTTTGAGGGACAAGAAGGGAGATGGGGGCTCAGAGGGGAGGGAAGGTGGGGGACCTTGGAGGAGCAGGTCCTTGGAGTCAGCTCAGCCTGCTTCTTGGAATGGCCCAGTGGGTTCCTGGTGCCCTTGGGGGCGGGGGTGGTGCTGAGATGCACTTCCCAACATCCCAGTCTCCAGAGCGGCACCAGCGAAGCCCCCGCACAGTCTGCACTGGACACACAGCCTCTGGGACCCGAGTACGGTTGCCCCATCCCGGCTCTGTCCAGGCCCCACGCCTGTTCTCAGCTGGGCCGGTTGAGGGAGGGCCTTGTCCGGGAGCCTCCTCGGCACTGAGCCGCCTTCCCAGCCTGAGTGCACTTAACCAGACCCCAGGGGCCAGTCAGGCCGGGAGGGCATGGGATCACACGTGGGTGGGGAGAGACGGCCGGGTGTAGGCTGGACGCCTACCCCTCCAGGCACTTGGGCCTCCCCAGGGCCAGGCAGGGCCCCCCGGGAGAAGGTTGTCTCTTCGCAGAGACGTGGCCCTGGAGGGAGTTTCCCACGAGCTCTGAAAACCCCATAGCCGGGCTCCGGAGTCTGTGTCCCAAGGAAGTGACAGGTGTTAGAACCAGCTTCCAACGGGTTAGAATGTCCCTTTCGAAATGGGAACCAAAGAGTTTGCTTCTCCACCTCCAGGCCCTGTAGGTGACACAGAGGGGAGGACACAGTCCTTCCTGGCTTCAGGCGCCAGGGACTTGCACACGCACATTCACCTTTGAGGCCATCCCATCTTTACATGCCTCCTGGCCATGGGTCTCTCACTGTCCAAGGGCCCTGACAAACCTGGTGGTACGTTCTGGAAGCCAGTCACTCTAAGCAGGAAGTGCCCCGGGACCAGCATGCTCTCCTCCCCTGGGGGACAGTCCACGACCCACTAGTCCTGCTGAGAAGTTTCCCAGGACCAGATGGGCTGTGGGCTCCTGACCGCCAGGCTGTGTCCTGGGCACCGTGGGCAAGAGGACCTGAGGCTTCGCCCGCCTGAGGGGCCTCTCTGACTGCCTGGAGCCTCCGCGGGGCCTGCCCCCGCTGGCCTGGCCAGACAGCCATCCAGGGCACCCAGGGCCAGCCCTACCTGTAGGCCGGCCTGGGCTGACCTCTCCTCAGACGGGTGGCCCCTGCCGTTGGACTGCAGAGACGAATGACCCCTGCCTCCCCAAATGCTTGGGTGCCCAGCTCTGGGAACCTAGGGACGGGACAGACTCACTGGCCCCTGGGGCTGTTCTCGTCTGTGACTTTGGCTGCTGCCTAGCCTTGACCTGCTGCACCCTGAGGACTGAGCACAGGTCCCCTTAGGGACTCTTGCTCTAAACCCCGAGACTCTCCCCTGTGTCCAGTGGCTGCGGGTGACCCTGCTATCCCGGAGGAGGCCCAAGCACCTAAAGGCATCGCCGGTGAATGCAATCGAGCGCACGGGGGCTCACTCAGCAGCAAGGCCCGGCCAGACGTGCTTGGCCCCGCGCCACCCTTAGGGGTTTCTCTGGGCTGGGCCTGGGGGTAGGGCCAGATGGCGGTGGGACTCGAGGGAGCACGCGTGCTCCCCACGGCGTGAGGACAAAGCCCCAAGGTGGCAAATGGGACAGGTGGGGTGACTATTCCCGCCAGGGGAACTTAGGCCTCTTTCTCAGTGCATGTCCTTTGTCATCAAGGTTTTGTGGCCTTGGTCCACCAGGCAGGTGGAAACCACGGATCCGGGCCCACGCCGGGGAGTCCGGTCCAGCAGGTGGTGATGTTTGGGGCCTGCGGTGCCGGCACCCACTTCTCACTGGTCGCCCCCGATTCTGGGAGCCAGCCCCGTAGCCCACGATGCCGGCGGCACGTCGCAGCAGCCCCGACACGGGCAGCATCTGGGGCTGCGGGCATATCCTCGCGAGGCCTCAGCCGAGCTCCTGGCCTCACCCACTCCAGTTTCTCAGGTAGATAATGACCAACTCCAGGTGGGTGTGGCGCAGCTCGGCTCCGTGCCAGGGCTGAATGAAGTAACCCAAACTGCAGGCAACGCGGGCAGCGGCAGAAGCCACATGGCTTTCCTTGCAGGTTTGGGTGGGGACGTCCGGACGGCGGTGCTCAGGTGCGTCCACCACGGCACCACAACTGGCCTCTGCCCCCCTTTCCCTGGGGGCTTGCTGGCAGGGAAGTGATGTCACCCCCAGCTTCTTGCTGAGGGGAAGGGACAGCAGCTTGGCCGTCCCACCCACCCCACCCACCCGCCAGCCTGGTTGGACAGGACCTCATTCCCAAGCAGGGCACGAACCTCAGCCTGGGGTTGCCTGGACAAGCTGTTGACTAATTGAACCTACTACAGACACACCACACGGGTTAGTGGACCCACCAGTGACCTCTGTCACCCCAAACACTCATCTTCTTGTTGGGTCTGTGTTCTGTACCCTGAGCCTTGTTAAATGGGGTGCCCAGAGCCTGCTCCTGCAGAGCCCTCCCCGAGGACCCGCCCCAAGGACTCCGCCTGAGGACACCCCTGCGGAAGGTGTGCCCACTCACCCATCAGGCCACTGAGGAAGACGCCGTAGAGGGACAGTCCGGTGGTGGCCGCATTCCACACGGTGCCCACGACGGCGTACAGCAGGATGGTGCCCAGGTTGCTGAAGAAGAGCCGGTTGGGCATGAAGTAGCCGGCGTCCAGCACGATGGGGGGCAGCAGGTAGAAGAAGAAGACAGTGGGGGTGAGCGTGAAGGAGGCGATGTGGTCGGCCGCCCAGACGATGCCTCCCAGCACCAGGCCCAGCACGATGAGCAGGGCGCTCTCAGGGACGACGCTGGTGACCTTGTGTGACAGGTGGAAGCCTGTGGGGGAGGGGGCAGTCAGGGGCGCCAGGACCCCTCCGATCGAAGCCTCTGAGGGTAGGGGACTGGTCCAGGGCCACTGCGGGCCCCTCCCACACGGGAGGTTTCATCCTGGAAATGCAGCGGGCGCTCAGGCTGGCGGAGAGCAGAAATGGGCTCTGCTAGTGACCAACCTCCTGGGCCTCCCTGTTCAAACCCGGGAGGGGGCTGAGCCCACCGCTTCCCTGGGGGCTGCCTGCTGGCTCTGTGGACAGGCCGGCCTCCCGGGAGGGGCTGTCCTGGCTCGCACGACAGACACGGACCTGGGAAGTGAAGCGCCACATCTGGGTCTCTGGACGCTTCCCTCCGGCCCCACTCACGTGGCCGGGAGGCCCTGCCAGTGCACGGTTGACTGCTGTCCCCTGGGACCTGGCCCCTGGGGACACCCTCCTCAGGGTCTCCTTGCCTCCTGCTGGGAGAATAGGTCGTCCCTTTCTGTGGGCAGCCGACGCGGCTGGTGAGGAGTGGGTTTGGGGGCAGTAGAGCTTCCCAGGACAGTCAGGCCGGGGGGGCGGCTTTGGGTGTTGAAGACAGAAGCCCCGAGGTGCGTGGGCAGAGCCCAGGGCACCCATACCCCCAGGCCCCACGTGACCCGTTCCCTCATGCATCCATGCTGCATTTGGCTCAACCTCACCCAGCGTGTCTGAAGGTGCTGGAGGCCGAAGTGCGGCTGCATTTTACCTGCCCTGGTGGGACAAGGGGGCCCGCAGGTCCCCTGCTGACAGCCGGCCGCCTGGGCCCCGTGGCCCATCACCCCTGTGAAGACCTGTCCTCTGAGTGAGGCAGGCTCGCAGACCTAGTGGGGCCCATTTCTCCTTCTATTTTACTTGTTCTATTTGAAGACTCAGAAAAAGTTAGAATTCCCAGGTTGAGCCCAACTTCAAAACAGTTGGCGTGTTGACTGGAGAGGCTGGCTCCCTTGGCCTCAGCCATGTTCGGGATACTTCTCTTTCCATTCACTGAAGTTCTGTTCATTGAGAGGTCTTTGAAATTCCAGGGAGGGCTGTCTCCTGAGGTGCCCAGGCCCCAGCCCCATGCGGAGCGTGAGGAGAACAGGTGGGTGCAGAGCACAGGGCTTATCTTGTGAGGCCGCGTGTGCTGACCCTGTCCTGCCTTGGGGTGCTGGAGGGGTGGGTGGGCTGGCACGCTGGCCTCGGTGGGTACTGGTCCCACCCACCTCGCCCACCAGGTGGCCTGCCCTGGGCTCTGCTCTTCCTCCCTGGCCTGTTCAATTATGGGGTCATCATGGGGGTCAGATGCTGGCTCTCGAGGGGACCCCCAGAGGGGCTGTTCTTTCCCTTGTGCACAGTCCCCCAAGTCTGGTTGAGAAGCAGAGAGACGGGAACCCACAAGGACCCTCGAGGCGTACCATGGTTCCACCAGCACACTTGTCTCCGGCCAAGGGCCCTACTGTGTGCTCTGGGAAGGGCGGGGTTTCAGCCCGTAGAGGCAGAAAGGGGAAATGCTTCTGGGACCTGAGGGTCTGCTGGGGGTCCGTGCCCCCAGTGTGCCAGGAAGGCTCTTCGGCTCTGCTGCTCCCCCAGCCCTGGTCACACACCTTCTGTTCCCATCAAGTTCACACTCCTCAGGTGAAGGCAGCGTCTCTGCTCCCTGCTCTGCACCCCACCCATACAGCCTCCCAGGAGGCCCTCAGAGGGAGGCCCTGGCCAGCACCTTGACGCTGCCAGGTGACTGGCAATTACCAGACCACGCAAGGGCACGTGTGACAAATGGCACAAGCGGGTGGCCGCCCAGAATGAGGGAGGCTGTGTGTGAGCACGGAGGCCAGGCTTCCTGGCAGCCCTCAGGGCTGCTCCAGCTCATCGGGAGGAAAACCTCCAGAGGGTTCGGCCTCACTGTGGTGCACAGGCTCACGTCCCCCGAGGGTGCCGTCTCTGAGCCTGGGAGAGGCACGCTACGTGCAAGGGAGGGCAAGGGTCCCCTGCTATGCGCCCCAGGCTCAGCTCTGCTCTGCACACACAACAGGGCCGACAGCCTGGTGCTGGGCAGCACCTGGCGCAATGGCACGGACAGATGTGTCTCTGCCTGTGCTGGCACCCTCCAGCGCCCTGGGCGGCAGGGGCCACCCTATGCTTTGGGAGGAAATGGGCATCCCTGAATCCCTGCCAGTCCCCACCCTGCTGCAGACACCAGACTGCACGGGTTCTAACAGCCCCAAAGGCCCGTGCGGACCCCACCGCTGAGCTGTCCCAGAAAGGGCTGGGGCCTGTGTCCCCTCCGTCTGGAGCCTGCCTGTTCATTTGTTAATGTTCAGAGACAGAGACATTTGTTAATGTTCTGTCCCCACAGGCTTGGTGCCCAGGAGCTGTGTTTAGAAGGGCCTGGTCCCTCAGAGCCAGCCCTTCGCGGGGCCACTGGCGGGGGCGCCTTGCCGTGGGGTGGATGCCCTCTCCTGCCCCAAGACTCCCAGCGAGCTCCAGGCCGGAGGGGCTCTCTCTGCTGCCCACCAAGACGCCGTTTTCTGCCAGCTGTGCGTTATCCGCTGGGGCTGCAGAACGGGTCATGCTGGGGACGCCTCCTCGGTGGCTCCTCTTGCCTTTTCGGGCCGCGTCTCCAGGGAGGGGCACCAGCAGCAGGTGCTCTTGAAGGACGGAGTCCACACTGTGTCCTCATGAGCAGAGCACTGAGCACAACAGGCCAGGGTCAGGCTTATCTCGAACAACCGGAGGGCGCTGTGCACCCAGGCAGCACCCGCCAGCCCCACGGGCGGGTCCCCGGGGGCGTCCAGGCACGGCGGCCCGTTACCATAAAATCTTATCAAATCAGAAAATGGGTGGATGAGAGACAAGCTGACTCCAGAGCCAGTGATCCTGCTCAGAGGTAAGCCCTGAGAATCCACAGAAAGGGTAACTTGAGCTTCTTACTCATCGAGAAGGAAACAAACATGCCCTGGGCTGAGGCCCCAAGGCTGGACCTATGCCTCGTGCAGGTGGGGTTCTGGGGGCCTGGGGCTCAGTGGGGAGCCCCCTGCGGCCCAGACAGAAGCACCTGCCACACCTGCCCACAAGCGGGCACCCCTGCCCTCATCCCAGGCAGGTGAGCAACTGTCTGTCGGCGGGTTTAAGGTGATCTCCGCCTGTTCCGAGTGAGGTCTGAACATCTTCCCGCCTTTGGGGACTTTCGTTCTCTGGTTGCTGTTTGTTCCCGGCACTCACTGCTCCTTCCCTGAGCGGGTGGGTGGGCTCCTCACACCCTGGATGGGGAGGATGCCCACCTTCTGGGGTGAGCTGACTCACCCTTGAACTTTACATTGCTATGCTCTGTGCAGACATCGATTTACGTATAAGTACTGGCTTTTATTTCATGGCTTCTGAGTTTTGTGCTTTAGAAAGCCACTTACATGTCCGTTTCCTATGACTTTTAACGTTCAGTTTAACTTGGGTTTAGCAAAGAAAATATTTGAAAATAATTGTGAAACTGAAGGACTTGCCCATCCCCAGAGAGAAAGTCTTCCCGCTCAGGAGTCTGCTCCTGAAACCCTCTACTTCTCCAAGCTCACCACTGCCCTTCGACCTAGTTCTCTGTTCCTGAGGCCTGACGCCAGGTGTGTGGCTCTCACCCTCCAGCGTCTGCCTGTGTCAGGACCAGGGAGCCGGGTCGCGTCCCGCGGTCGCGCGCATGCTTGCACTGAATGCACGTGGAGGAGGGGCCAGAGCCCTGTTCTCTCCTTGCTTCCCACTGAGTGCTTTCCTGTCTGGCAGTCAGAAGAACTTTTTCATCCTTGAGAACACCTTGTAGCAAGAATGTGTCTTCACGCTGATTCTCCTTCTTTCCCTAATGTTGGGGACGTCCCTTCAGTCTGCAGAGGCTGATTGTCCATTTAGGGCAGTTTCCTGCAGCCTCCTGAGGCCCGTCACAGCGCCCGGCTGGCGGCCTGTCCCACCTCGGCTGTTTCCCTCAGGCGTGCGTCGGGGGCTGACGTCCGGCACGGCCATCGACCCCCAGGCAGAACGAGCACAGCGTGTGATGTGTGCCACGTGGCACACACCTGCCCAGCCAGTGGAGCCTCCCACCCGGGCCTCTGCTGCCCCCGGACGGCACCTCCGGACTCTCCGCCCCGGGCACCACCTCCCCATCCCTGTCCCCCCTCCCCCGAGTCCGTGGAACCCTCTCAGACCTTCCGGTTCCACCAGCCGCTCGCTCTAAGCTCTCCTGCTCTGCGCTTGGTCAGCTGTGTCTCAGGGCTAACAATGCGTGTTTACCCATGAAAATCCTTTTTACGATTTCCCCATTTTGTTGTCTTTGCTGTCTTACTGAGATCAGGGTTGACCCTTTTCTAGGAGGTTAAGCTCTGTGGGGACTTCCTTTCCATTCCCGGGTCACATTTTACCCCAGGTGCCCTCCCTTCTCTTTCCTACAACATCGTATGGCCTCCAGGTGCGTCTTTACCCTGTTCGCGCCTGGCCTCGCTTTATCCGCACTCACAGGCGCAGGGCGGTTTTCTGCATCCGGCTTCTGTCTCATACGGGCTCACGTGTCTTCTCTGGAGCTAGAGACTGGGGCGGGGTGTTGCTGTCCTTGTCCTGTGGTCTGAGAGCCACAGGGTCCCTCAGTCCATGCTCTCAGCTGGCGTCAGGCTGGCAGCTTGGACCCAGCCACCGCCGTGCCTTCTGGGCTTCTATGCCTCCACCCACCCAGCACGGGCATGAGGGAGGGTGACAGTCTCAACTGGCCGAGGTCTCTGGTTGATAGGAATTCTTTGTGAGTGAGTCCAGCTAGGTCAGGCCTGCAGGCAGCTCTTGCATCAACTGTGACCCCTTCCAGAAGGCAGCTGCATCGTAATGAGCTAATTAAACAAAAGACTTGATTGATTCTAAGTGGCAATTTGCTGGTGGTTCAGCTATTAAGCATATAATGGGCATTTTAGGAGCCAGTAAGCCGAGTTCCTGCCGGAAATGCCCTGTGGCATCGGGCTCCTGTCGCAGGTGGAAACCACAGGG